GGATCCCACCGCAAGGGCCTGGCACGGCACCGCTGCCGGGTCACCAGCCCCCGTCACCGTGCGCTCCGCAGGCGTCCGCCGCTCCTGGCCGTCCGACTACCTGGATGACATGTGGTGGCACCTCCGCGAGAACTTCCCGAAGGCCGTGCTCTACGTCCTCCCCATCACCCTGCTCGTCCTGCTGCTGCTCTGCTGCATCACGTACGTCCCTCTCTCCTGGGGGACGGGCTCCGGGGCCTCTGCGTTGGCCCTCTGCACCCACCATGTCACCAGCTGCGTGAGACAGGGCAGGGTAGGAGGCTGTCCTGGGTCTGTAAGTCGTAGAGAGAGTAAATGGAGGTGGCGGGGGGGAAATATCAGGGTCCCCAAGCACAGAGTTTATAGGAGGATTTTCCCCAGCACCCTCCTTGCTCCCCGCTTCCGTATCTTCCATTTCCAAGGACTTGTATCCTCCTTCTCCTTGTTTCTCAGAGTGGCTTTAGACTGAGGAGCCCCAGGAACAAGGAGAGGAAGGACAGACATGCGGGAAAGGCCAGCCTCCTCCTCGGGGCCAGTGCCCTGAGGCCTCCTCAGAAGCACTCGGTGCCCAGAGGTGCTGGAGAGACCAAAAGCCAAAGCACTGATCTTTTCCTGTTCCAAAGAAGCAAATATCCCCCCACCCTGAATGAACATTCCCATCCCCAAATAAGATGCATCTGGTGTCAATATGACTCATGCCGAGATCCTAAAGCAGCCCCTCTTTGGCACGCAGGGACGTGGGCACTCACCAGCCCACCCATGACCACAAGAAACGCATGGGCACGACACGATGCCCGATGTCCTGTGGGATGGAAAAGCCTGGAACAGGCCACACGGCCAGCGCTTGCAGAGCACAGATGTCCCTCCTGCAGCCGCTCACTCAGCACTCGTGTGGCTCTGGTCAGGCCTCTAAATTAATTAGCACCCTCCATCAGCTGCTGGTGTTAACACCCTGTTGTGCAGTGGCCAGATGTGCCCCTCCTGATGGGTGCTGGAGCCCAGAACCCTTGGACACCTCTCCTCTGTGGAGGGACCCCAGCAGGCCCATGCGGGGGGGTCCTTGCAGAGGGGAGTCAGGTTCTGTCATGAGTTTTCCAGCCTCAGCTACCACCCTCGAGCACAGGGAGCTGCTGGGAGCCGCCAGGCAGTGACGGTGGCAGCCCTGGATCAGGCTTCTGGTCACCGAGCCCCGGTGTCCAGCTCTTCCATCCATTTTTTTTTGGAAGAGAAACTGGCTCAAGACAGAAATTGCAGGCCAAAGAGGGATGCAGAGCCCCTGGCAAGGAGGGAAGGGTTTGGATGGGGTGTGAGGAATGGAGCGGGGGAGATTCCCTCCCCTGCACGCACCGCTTGGCTCTCAAAGCAGCCCGATGCTTGGGGTGACGCCAATGCGGGAGCCAGACGGGTCCTGGGGAGGGGACACCCCCATCTCCTGCAGATGCGACCAAAAGGGCCTGTGTCCCCCCGCCGGTCACCCCGGCCGG